TGGAGAACCCGCGACCCACCCGCGACCCAAACCACGTTCAATATACGAACCAATTTTTTCGGCGCCTGCGGCGGGCTGTTCTTGCAGGAGGAGGAGGAGGAGGAGGAGGAGGACGAGGAGGAGGAGGAGGAGGAGGAGGAGGAGGAGGAAGGGGACGGCGACGACGACGACGACGTCGACGACGACGACGACGACGAAAAGGAGGAGGGGGGAGGATCGGGAGGGGGGGAAGAGGAGGACGACGAGGAGGAACATGACGACAATGGGAGGACGATGATGGAAGGACGAGGGGGGGAGAGGGAGGACGAGGAAGAAGAGGATCAGGATCAGGATCGGGCCCGTGGGAGTTCGTCTGCTGCTGCTTGTCCCCTGCCAGGCAACTGCCTAGCGGGGTGGGGCAGGGTGAACTCGGGGGGGCGAAACTTGATGCCGCCAACCTTCCGGCGCGGCCCGTGGCTCTCGACGGACGCCGCACAGCCCCTGCGGGCACCCCCCGAACTCAGCACGCAGCCGAACGGGGGGCCCGCGGGTGGGGACCAGTGAAAAACGGCTACCGACCCTTGCCCTTTCCTTTGCCCTTCCCCTGACTGCCTCTCCCTCCGCGCATGCTGTCCCTCTGAACGGTGGGGGTAGTCGCTACCGCAGGGCTATAGGCTGATGGGGCTGGGGGGGGCGCGGGTCCAAAACATCTGCATTCACTCGCCCTTGTGCTATGAGCTCTGCGAGCCTAACACGAGGAGGAGAGCGCCATCGACAAGGAAGGTGGGGGCCACGAGGTCCGCCGGCTTGACGACGCCCGCGTCGCCCGCGCCCGCCCCCTCACTCTTATCCGCGATTGCGGGGTGCTACGAAGGTAATATAAATTCAAAACGGGGTAGAAATCGGATCCGCCGAACACGGATCCAGCGAATGCGAAATCGGATCGGCGCGGGCGGAAATCGGATCCACCGAACAAACACCAAAGCCACACTTGGATCCGCGCGAACTTCATGGAATCCGACGGCGGTTATTTCGGACGCGTCTGCTCAAGACTTGAGGCCGTCGTCCCGGGCGGATGCAGTGGAACGCGCTCGGTGACAAACGGTGGGGTAGCGAATCAGCACACGCAGCCGAACTTCTCGGCGCCTCCCGGCGCCGGAGGCGGCCACGTGTCGATGACGGCGCCCGTCGGCCGGGCCGGAACAGGCCGCATGCAGCAGACCTCGTACCCCCTCCCCCTTGCCCTGTCCCCCGCTTTGGTCCAGGAGGGGAGGTCGATGAGCGCGTTCCACTACTCGCAGAGTCACTACTCGCAAATGGCCTGGATCCCCCGCGGGGGATCTACGATAAGTTACAGAAGAGCAGACATGTGTTTTTCGGACGTTTGCGAGGTAGGCACTTTGCGAGTAGTGGAACGCGCTCGGCGATGAGGGGAGGAAGGAGGGCAAGCAGGGAAAATTGAGGGATGCGCTAATGCACCTGCACACCATCACGTTGCCTGCCCAGGGCCCTGGATGGCCCTGGCCAGGTGGATGCCTCCTGCGGATAAAACATGAAGGAAGGGCGGCAAGCCCCTAGCCGCCGTCTGGCAAAGCTCGAGCTCCAGGCGCGAAGAAGCAGCCACTCAGAACCTGAAACACGCAGCTGGCGCCAGCGACCGCGCCTAGGAGAGGTGGGGGACGTGGGCACGAGGTGGGCCGCGTCTGCCGGCGTGCCGGGGCCTGGCTCGAGGTGCCGGCAGTAGGAGACCAGCATGCACACACACACACACACAATCACACACACACACACACACACATGCGCGCGCATGAAGACGCGCACTGAGGCACGAAGCTGCGGCCCCCCAACATGCAACTACCAGTCAGACTTGACAGGCTGGGCTACCCCGGCGCCTTCTTCGGGCACCGCGCTCTACAAAGGAATACTGGAAAGGCAACGCCCAAAAAAACACTAATCTGAACAGAACACTGCGTGATGGAAATTGCTGCGCGAAGTCCAACAGAATCGCCTCCACTTCCCTTGCTGGGCAGATGCACCCCACTAGCCTCAACCGACTCCACGTTCCTCCCGCCTCCTCCCACCTACGCCCGCCTTCACCCTCTTCCTACCCCTCTTCTGTCCCCCCTCCCCTCGTTCACTCCTCGTCCATACACGTCGGCCGGCAGAAGCAGGTAAAAACATGAAGCAGGAAGGCGGATAAAGTAGATTGGATTCAGGCCCTCCCAGATAATAACAAAACACAGCAAAACATATCGATGCTTGAAGTAGGAAGGCGCTTGAAGTAGCTTGGGATCCAGGATTCCCCCAAAAACGACTTTCAACGACCAGCGTGTAGTCCTGCCCTCCAAACCAAGGGTCTCTCTCCGTACGCCCGTTTTTGTTCCGCTCCTCATGCGATCGCACGCCAGGCGCTGCGCGCGGCACCCGGGCGCTGGCGAGACCTGGGTGCACGTGGCGCCGTGCTCCCGACATTCTCCCCGGATCTCTGTGTACGCTGGGGGGGGGGGGGCAGAAATCGAGGGCGGCCGAGAGGGGGGCGTCCAAGGGGGGGGGGGGGGCGCAAATCATATGGCTGGCGGCATGTGCGCGGCCCAGGGGGTGGCCAGGGACGTATTGAAATAAGACGAGGCGCCATGAAATCTGGGGAAACATCATGGCCCAGGCCATGACATCCCCCCCCCCTGGTCACCACCCCCCTCCTTTGCCTCCCCCGAAGGAGAGGCACCGATGCCGCTGCGCTCCGGACCACTCCCGTGACGCGCCCTGGCCAGGGGTTTTCGGGCGAGTCCTCCGGACCACTCCCGTGACGCGCCCTGGCCAGGGGTTTTCGGGCGAGTCCCGCCGTGGCGGCGAGGGCTCTCCAGGACGAGCAGCGGCATCGGCGTCCCCAGACATTCGCCGATGTGATCTGTGTGTTGCAGATAGCCCCGGAGGCCGAAATCGGGGAATAGCTCCGCGACTGAAAACGGACCGCCGAGGTATGCCTCCCGTGACGGGCCACGGCATCGGTGCATACGCTTTCCTCCTCTGAGCACGAGCGTGCCTCGGGCAAAACACGACGCGTGCGTCCAGCACGCGGCCGACTGCCACTGCCCCTCACGAGGGGCCCCGCAGCTGCAGCGCACCGGGGGGGGGAGGCTCTGCCAGGGCTCGGGCGACCTCGCGCCAGGCCGGGGGGGGGGGAACGATATAGGGGGGAATCGGGCTCAGGGAGGCGAGCATCGGGCTGGAATCGGCGATGCATCGCCGATGGATCGGCTGCACGACAGAACGTGCAGCACAGGCAGGACGACAGCCAGAGGGACAGCGAGAGGGCAGAGAGGAGGGGGCGCAAGGCCACGACACAAGGGAAATGGAAATACATACGACTGAGGAGGGAGAAGGCGAGGGGCAGGGGGGGGGACGGCTCAGGGAGGCGCACATCGAGCTGGAATCGGCGATGCCTCGCCAACAGATCGGCGGTGGGGCCCCCGCGAGCGAATCCGCGCTCTCCTGGGCGGGGAGGCCCCCATTGGCGATCAGCGGGCGAATGGGGGCCGACGCAGTCCTCCCCCGAGCCCCTCCCCCCCCCACGGTGCCCCTGGGCGGGCAGGGAGATTAGCCCGGCACTCTGCAGGCCAGCGTGCGCAGCTCAGGACAGGCCGCGAGGCCTCCAGGGAAGCACCGGCGAGGCCGGCGAGCGGCTGCTCCTCGGAGAGGCCACCCGGCTTGGCCGCTCGCTCCTGCGCCGCCCAGGCGGCAGCCGCGGCGGCGAGGCCTCGCGCACAGCTGGACCTCGGGAGACCTGCAGAGTGCTGCACGACGGTCGAACCACCTTCCGCCAAGATGGCCGCGCGGCCGCACGGGTCAGTGCTGACGAGCGGCGCCAGCGGAGCGCTGCCATGCAAATGCCTGCGTGGCCCTACCTCTTCGCTTTCGACGCCGCTGCTCTCCACACGAGGCTCGCTTCACGCGGTACCGTACCAAAAGGGATCTGGGAGTGCCTATGCAGGCGCACCTGGACGACGAAGGCAAAAGGGCCTTGCGCGAGAAAACTTAGGCACCACGCCGCGGCTTATGCGGGCCGCTGGCGTGGCACACCGCGTGGAGACGAACCGTTCACGCGCGACCGTGCGCGGGCAGCCTGCGCGCGAACATCGGCTCAGTCGAACCCGTGATTCTGCGCCGCTCACCTGGCCTGACCCCCCTACTCGGGTGCAGGTCGAGTCTGCGCTCGTAGGGGTCGCGCATGACAGGGGATCTCTGCCGAGACAAGCCTTAGGTCGGGCATGTCCTCCTACAGGCGGGTTTTGAAGGGCACGCCGGAGCACACGACAGAGCACCACACGACCGCCTGCAAGAATGGGCACTGGCCCCGCCTGCCCGCCACCGCCTGTGCTGCCTGCCTCGGGTCTGCTTTCGCCGCGCACTTTTCACGTGCGCCCTCAGCCGGTCCGCCCCTGGAGGAGGAGGAGGAGGAGGAGGAGGAGGAGGAGGAGGAGGAGGAGGAGGAGGAGGAGGAGGAGGGGAGGCACGTTTTGCCTCTGCTCGGCAGAACGCTCGCGGGCGTAGTGGCACCCCCGAGCACCCTCCCGAGAACGACAGAGGAAGCACTGACCCAACCAAGGGGGGACACATCCACCAGGAATCAGCGATGCACCGCCCGGATCGGCCATGGGCCCGCCGAGAGCGCATCCGCGCTCTCCTGGGCGGGGAGGGCCATCGGGCCCCTCTCGGCGATGCATGGGCGTTCGGGGGCCGACGCTTCCCCCACCCCTGAGCCTGTCATCGTTGCCACCGAATGCTGGCACAGGATGACTAGAAGAAGAAAAGAACGCCATCCGTGCGGACTTCTTGGATCCGCACTGGGCCCCCCTCCCTGGCGCGCCGAGCGCGCCAGGGGCGGCGCAGGAGGCGCCGCCAAGGGGCGCCTAGGCCCATCCGAGAAATCCGCGCAAACCTCCGAGCTTTGCTGCTCCTGCCAATCTTCGCCCCCCGAACCGAGTGCTGGCACGGGAGGGCGGAGAGCTGCGCTGCTGTTTTGCCGGCACCGCGGCGGACGCCGCTCCGCGCGGGGCGCGCCGCCCGATCTGCGCGGCGGGGCCCGCGCGCGCCGAACCTGCGGGTGGGAAGGGCGCCCGCCGACGCACAGAGGCGCCCTCCTCACGGCGAGACGAAGTGCGCGCGGACCGCGGCGGGAGGGGTGCCCAGACCGCCCCGCGTGGAGAAAAATCACAGCTCGGGGGCGGCCAAGAGGGGGGTGTCCAAGAGGGGGGGGGGGGCGCGAATCATGGTCGGCGGCATGTGCGCGGCTGGAGGGGGGGGGCCAGAGACGTATTAAAATAAGAAGGGGCGCCATGATATCCACCCCCTTAGTCCTAACCCTCCTCTTTGCAGCCCCCGATCGGCGGGAGGTACTTCTGAAATGTCAGCCTCCCGGGACGGTCCAAAAAATAGTTCGGGGCAAGAAACCGGGCCCGGGGAAGGGGTCCACACCTCACGAGGACCACGTTGAGAAAGGAACCACGACGTCACGGGAGGCGTTAGTCAATCTTCAGCCTCCCGAGACGGTCAAAAAACGGCTCGGGACGAAAAACCAGTCTCGGGGAGGGGATCCAGACCTCATGTAGACCACGTTGAGGAAAGAACCACGACGTCGGAAGTCTGAGCATGTGATCGTGCGCCCGCTGAGGTGCCAACTGTGCTGCAGCCGTGCACGTGGTCGTGTTTCACCAAGTGTTGTTCGCACGTGTTGCACGCACCCACCACCCCTTGGTCACTATCATCCCCGCGTGTGTGCAATGCATCTGCGTACGGCAGGTTCGTGTCGTGCCGACCCCAGCGTTGGTTTTTGACACCGCAGGGATCGTTCAACCTTGAACGATCGGCCGCTGCCGCAACTTCCGATCGTTCAACATCGATCGATTCTGGGTCGCCGGCGGCGTTCAACCTTGAACGCCCGCGCTGGGGTCGCCGCTGGTCGACACGACGCAAACCTACCGTAAGATGTGTTCCGCCTACTGGCAAACTTCGATCGCTGCCTCGGCCCACCGCCGCCCTGTCTGCCTTCCCCGGCGCTATCGGAAGCCGAATCCCCCAGCAAATCAAAAGGCCTACCACACATCGTTCAGTGGGCAGTGTCGCCCCTTATCTCACCAGCCACGAGCTCATGCCTATCTCTGAGATCGACAAACCCAAGGCGACGACAGTCTAGGGATGTGCCTTCAGGAGCTGAGCAACTCCTGTTGATCGTCATCGAAATCCGGTGATGCCGATCACAGGGACAGGGATATCGGCCAGGTTGGTAACCATCGCCTCCCCTCACCCGCTCCCCCTGCCTGCCCGTGCCATCCCCGCAGCTCCTCGCGACCTCTCGCCTCCCCTTCTCCCTTGCCCTCGAGCCCTCGCCAGCACGCGCCACGGCAAAAACCCCATCGGCGCTGAGCGTTCCCTGGCGCACGGAGCGCGCCAGGAGCGGCGCCGGAAGCGCCGCCGCCAGGGGGGGCCCAGCGCCGATCCAAGAGATCCGAGCAGAGCTCCGAGAAAGCCATGCTTGCATCGTTGTTGGTGCCTCGAGACTCTGGAGCCCAGGAACCGCATGCCGCGGAGAATCCGCCGACCCCTTGTGGGTCTCTAGGCGTGCAAGATTATCACCACCCATTAATCCCCCCCCCCAGGAACCCCAAGCCGGACCCCCGGACCGAACGCGTCATGGGAGAGCGGAGGGCTCCAAAACGGGCCAAGAAGGCACCAAAACGCTCCCCAGACAGGGCCACGAGTTGCCGAAAGATCGCTCCTTGACGCCCACGATGGCCTCCAGACGGCTTCCGAAGCTGCCAAGACGCCCCGGAAGGCCCCCAAGATGCTTCCCAGGAGGGTCCCAAGAAACAAAAATCGTCCCGTCCCCTGTGAAGACAAACCATGTTTCGCATACTCGCCTCTTCGGCTTTCACAACGTCCAAGACGGGCAAAGAAAATTGCAATATCGCCCCCGGACGGCACCCCAAAAAGGGGCCGAAGAGGGTCCAAAAACAGCCCACCAAGCCCCCAAGACAGCCCAAGAAGGCCCCCAGACGGCTCCAAGAGGGAGTCCAGAGGGCACCTTTCCGAGCCTTCGGCCCCAAGACGCCCCCAGCCTGCCCCAAGAACACCCCAAGAGGCCTTGAGGGACGTCCAAGAGAACCTCAAAGGCCTCCAAGAAGCCCCCAGGAAGTCCCCAAGAGGCTCCAAAACTTGGCCCAAGATGCCTCGAAGCGGCCAGATATGGCCTGCAGACAGGCCAAGATGCCACCAAGAGGCCACAAAAGAGCACCAAGAGGTACGATAACAGCAACGAAGCAACAGGAACGATGTCGAGCGCCGTGTCATGATTCGGACAAGCCTCGTGAAATGCAGTCCTGGAGGCGCAGTAGATTATATCGGGGTCGGCGGATGTGGCGTAAGCCTACAGAATCAAGGTGACCCCGTCCTCCCTTCGAACCCCTCTATCTGATGATCCACGGGGCGTTTGTGGGTTCAAATTGCCACAAGAGGGGGGGAGGGGCGAACTTTGGGCGAACTGTGGATTCCCTCCCAAAGTGCGCATCGTCGCTCTGATCTTCACATCATGCATAGCACCATGAATAATCCTTATTATCAATTTCATGAGGATGTATCAAGCGAAACGCAAGTGTGCCAAGATTCCCTGAGTTCACGACCAGCAGCTTGGTTCTGTGAAAAGCACTATCGCGAACGCGTGAGTTTTGCGAGGATGCTTCAAGCGAAACGCTCAATGTGTTCAGCTTCCCCTCCCCTTCTTCCGTCCCCGCAGCTGTTCGAGGCCCAAGCCGTTTGCCATAGCATTCCTCGGGACTCGTTCTCACCCAACTCCTTCCAACAAGCTCCAGGGGAAAGCTTCTCCAGATTAGCTTGGAGGTAATTCGAGACCCATCCAGACATCCCAACATCGATCTCTGGGAAAAACTAAGCATCCTCACAGGACCCCGAACTTCATTATCCCCTGGGTGCGATTCTCACTGGCATAGGGTTATCGGCGACTCGGAGGGGTGTGGTTAGCAACGGGTGTGGTTTGCAACCCGCAACTTGGGGGGCAAACGAGGACCTTGACAGAGCTCTCCGCCGCGCCCCGAGGAGGCTCGACGAGGGCAACGTGGTGCCCCCCAAGCCCCAACGACGCAGATCGCAAACCACACCCCGGCTTAACCATAGCATTTGAGGCAGTGTGCCGTTAGATTCTGACAAGTTTACTTGCCTGGAGGGGGGTAGGTGGGGGCGTGGTCAGGCCCGAAAGGAAATCTGAACTTCACGTAAGTCGGGATTCACTTGCACGTCTTTCCGGCCTAGTGCTGCTGAAAAAAGCGGCGAAGGGGAAGGGGAGGGGGAAGACTACCATGCAAATCAACCTGCCTGAATCTAAAGAAGACCGCCTCTATCCACTGTCGCGGGGCCTCGTCCCGGAGAATCGCGGAGCGGTGGATATGGGCACGTACCTGCCCGCGCACGCGGGCGGGCAGACATCCACATCCACCGCTCCTCGACCAAGGGCACGAGACTCCGAGGCAGTGGAGATATGGGACACACTCTGGCGGTGGAAGACGGACACGCTGGCCTCCCCTGGAGGCGTACGTCCGAACCGCACAGAAGTACAGACACCGTATCGTGTAGCTTTGCCCAGGCGGTATGGCCAGAGTGCGCCCGCCACTGAGCGCGTACTAGAAAAATTGTTTCAGCGCGCGCGTCGCCGCGTCGCCCCCTGGGGGTGCAGACGCACACATCGTATAGATATGTTTGGGGGATGCCGACTTGCGCCGATTGTCACATGGGCAAGACGAGGCCAAGACGGGGACAGATCCGGCCAGCAGGACAAATCGGGGATCTCTGAGATCCGGTGTTTGTACGGGGATGTGTCGGGCGCCGCGGCCGTTTCAGAGCGTTCCAGAACGCACTGATAGCGTTCCGGATGGCTCTGGCACGATCTCTCCCTGTCCGAGCCTCGCCCGATACAGATCCGCCGGAGGCCCTGCTCCCTACGCCAAAGCAAGAGGGAGCCCGTGCCGAACTTGCATCAGACATTATTGAAGGGGCCCAGGGGCGCACAAATAAATATACACAAGTCCTAGAATGCCCCCTATGTTCTAGACGTTCGTCCTGCCCCCCACTTCCCATATTCTCCACATTTCCCTGGAAATCGAGGATTCTTCGTGCCTGTGCATTTTTCCCCAATGCGCAGCCTTGGCAGTTCCCTTGGCTCCCTCGGGCGGCCTTCCTGGGGCCTCCTGACAATCCTTTCAGGGGCGGCGGAAGTGGCCGCGAGGCGCCTCCAATACCCTCGTCGGTGGTTCAAAGGTGGGGTCCTGAGGGATGGGGTCCCGAGGATGAGGTGCCCCAAACAATGTAAATCCACCCTTGGGTCCCTTCCTGTCCTTAGGACCCATCCCTCCGGACCCCATCTTGGAACCGCCGAGCTCGTCACGTCAAGTGCTCAGGCGTTCGGACTGCCGGCGCGCAACTAGGCGTGATGTCAGGTGGCCTCCGCAGACCCGGCCAGAGCCCGCATCAGCCCCGAAATCTCCTCGTTGCACTGGAGGAACTCGGGGGATCCTGCCCTCCACCACCCTCTGACGCAGAGGGGGGGCTCGAGAAGAGACGAGAGTGGCGAGCAAGCGGAGGGGGAGGGGGAGTGGAAGAGGCAGGGTGGGAGGGGGGAGGAAATGGGGAGACAAGGGGAGAGGAAGAAGAAAGGCGGGGGGGACAGGGGAAGGGAGAATGGAGGGAAGCGGGGGAGAAGGGGCGAGACATCAAGAGGCAGGAGGGGAGGTGGGCGCGGTGGGCCAGGGGAAGGGGAGGGAGAGGAACGATGACCCTCCTCCCTCCTCCCCCCTCCCTCCTCCCTCCGCGAGGCGAGGGACTAGGGAACGACACGCTCGCAGGCAAGCACGAGCACACCCTCAGGCGCGCGCGCGCGTGGCGTGGCTAGCGACTGGCCAGCGGCCAACGGGGGAGCGAGGAGATGACGGGCGAGGCGCGCCCGCATGCGGGGCGGGGGTTGCCGGCAGGGAGCCCGCGGAAGGCGTGCGCGCACAGCCCACGTGCACGCACGCGGCCTGGTCCGCGGGGCCAGCCTCGCGCCCCAGACGCCTCGCGCCCGAGAAGCCCACGGGACATCCTGCACGCGCACCGCTGGCGTCGCTCCTGGGGCCTGGGGGAAGACCTCCTCCCTCCTCCTCCTCCTCCTCCTCCTCCTCCTCCTCCTCCTCCTCCTCCTCCTCCTCCTCCTCCTCATCCTCCCCCTCCTCCACCTCCTCCTCCTCCTCCTCCTCCCTCCCTCCTCCTCCTCCCTCCTCTCCTCCTCCTCCTCCTCCTCCACCTCCTCCTCTCTCCTCCTGCCCCTCCCCCTCCTCCTCCTCCTCCTCCCCCTCCCCCTCCTCCTCCTCGCACCGATAAGGCTGCTCGTCGAGCCTTCCGAGGGGGAAGCGCCCTGCCCGGGACCTCGCCGCGAGATCCCGGCCCTGGCGCCGAGGGGCCGGGCCGCAGCCTCGGCATGCAGGTCGCCCCCTCTGAGCATCACGGCACGCCTCGGACCAGGCACGACGAGGCGCGTCCAGCGTGTGGTCGATTGCCCGCTGCCTCTCGCGCTGGGGCTCTTACGGATCGGCGCTGGCCGACGGCCGACTCGACGCCAAGCCGAGGCTCGTCGACGCCAGTCGACGCCAGAGCGGCGCCACGTCGTCGGCTGCCAGACGCTAGTCGGCGCTGGTGCACCCGAAAGGCGAAACTGCGAGGGTAGAGAATCCGAGAGAGTCGTAGGCAGCAAGCTCAGTTTTCTGGATGTTGCTTTTGCTTGTCGAGGCCTCCGCTGCAAGTAATGGGAGCGATGGAGGCGGCGCTCGTGTGCTTTCCTGTTCGGCTGTCCTTTCGCAGCGCAACAGGGTTGGCGTCCCATTGTACATGTTCCTCGATTTGCTCACGAACGCGAGGCCTGAGCCATACCCTGCATCCTCACTCGAGTAGGACTGGGGGGCAAGGTCTGAAGAACACCCCAAACGGACGTCAACGGGAGCGTCCAACCTGTTCGGTCAAGCTGAAGTCGGTGCACCACACCCGGCGTCAGGCCAAAACCTTGGACATGTCGGCTTGAGCGGCGAGGCGCTTGACGTATCCCTATCCCTAAGATGGGCGAGCAAAAAGCGAGGACAATCTTAGGGATAGGCCCTCAGAAACTGAGGGAATCCTTAAGATCGGCATCGAGGTGAGGTGATGTCAAACATGGGGATAGGGATATGGTTCAAACTGGTAACACCTTGACGTCCCTTTTTTGGCGGTCACGAGGAAGGTGCCCTTGCACCCTCGGCCCTGCTCAAATCCCCGCACCTCCCCCTGTCCCCAGGCCGGGCGGACGGTGGGTCGGGGGCCGCGTCCTTGCAGCCTCTCCTCTTGGCGGCGAGCACAGGGGGGTGCCGTGACGAGGGCGATCCCTCCTAAGCAGGCAGGGGGACGCCTAAAGGCAGGGGCCTTCTCTTGGGAAGGGCCAAACGTACTCCCAGGACGACGCACCCCCAGTGAGGTGCCGCAGCGGCCGCAGACCCATGCCACGGTGGGCGCCAAAATGCAGCCTTGGGCGCCACGAGGCGGGCCCTGATAGAGGCCTCCCAGATGGGGTCGGAGTAGATGGGGTCGGAGGATCGCGCCGCATCGCCGATGCATCGGCGACGCATCGGCGACGCATCGGCGACGCATCGGCGACGCGTCGGCGACGCATCGCCGATGCATCGTCCACGTGGGCGATGCATCGGAGAAGTCGACGGGAAGCAAATCGGGCTCCACATCGAGCCGCGCCGCCGATGCATCGGCGATGCGGCACGATCCTCTTCGACCCCATCTGCTCCGAGCCCATCTGGGAGGCCTAGAAGCCCGAGGCTCCCCCTCCAGGGAACGTCTGCTCCGGGGTGCCCTTGGCCTCCCCCGACCCTCAGAAGTGCCTGGTGGCGTGGCTTCTGGGAAGGCCTCCGCAGAGGAGCCGCCCGGGGCTTCCGAGAAGGCCCCACCCTTCCAAGGAATTCCCCTGCCTGCTTGAGACGATTTCTCAGGTCTCGCGATAACACCTGTGACCAGCTAGGCCCCCCCCTTCTGGTCACGTCACGATTCGCGCAGACGTCGTCTGGGAATGAACCGTTCGTAAGCATCCCCAGACGGCGCCGGCGCGAGTCGTGACGTGACCGGCCCGCTGCCCTACCCACCCCCCCTGCTGGTCACACCCGTCATCGCCAGGAGACCAGAGAAAACTGTCTCCTCCGGGAAAGCAGTCCCCCTCGCGCCACCCCCTTGGTACACGCCGCCGATCCTCGTGCAGGATGACCGCCAGCTCCACGTCCTCGCACAGCACGTCGAACCTTCGGTGGCAACTCATGGGAGCCTCCCACACCATCTTGTCGGCTCTTGCGAATCGACGCTAGCCGCCTCTGGTTGATGCTAAAGCGACGCTAAATCGACGCTAATCGACGCTAGCCGACGATAAATCGGAACATATCATCGACTCCCAAACGCTCATCGACGCTAGCCGACGCCAAAGACGGAACTAAGGGGGTATACCAGGCTCTCGTGATTTGCCACCGAACGAACCGCGTCTCCACGGCCAGCGTCACTATCAGCTCCGCCGAGGCCTGAAGGCGGGGCCCGGCAGCCGCGGCCAGCCGCTGCACGCCAGACGCACCGCGCGGTGCGCCTCTCCAGACAGGCTCGCGTGTTGGAAAAATCGCGACGGACATTTTGGGGCAGCTTTCGGCCCTCCAGGGGCCCTCCCCCTCCTCCTCCTCCTCCTCCTCCTCCTCCTCCTCCTCCTCCTCCTCCCTCCTCCTCCTCCTCCTCCTCCTCCTCCTCCTCCTCCTCCTCCTCCTCCTCCTCCTCCTCCTCCTCCTCCTCCTCCTCCTCCTCTCCTCCTCCTCCTCCTCCTCCTCCTCCTCCTCCTCCTCCTCTCTCCTCCTCCTCCTCCTCCTCCTCCTCCTCCTCTCCCTCCTCCTCCTCCTCCTCCCCTCCTCCTCCTCCCTCCTCCTCCTCCTCCTCCTCCTCCTCCTCCTCCTCCTCCTCCTCCTCCTCCTCCTCCTCCTCCTCCTCCTCCTCCTCTCCTCCCTCCTCCCTCCTCCTCCTCCCTCCTCCCTCTCCTCCTCCTCCTCATCCTCCCCCCCCTCCCTCCTCCTCCCTCCTCCACTTCCTCCTCCTCCACCTTCTCCTCCTCCTCAGGGGCCCTCGAGGCTCGAGGCTTTCTGACGCTTTCGCTGGTTCTCGATGGTCTTCCAGCCTCGCGAAGCTCTGCAGCGTAATTCGCTGTTGCAAATCATTTGTGTGCCCTCGTGTGGCCCACGCACCTGCCTGCAGCAACCCTTGCGGCTGTGGGTTCGCGATCGTGCGCTATATGACGTGGAAGCGCTGCCAACCTAAAGCTATGGAGCAGCTGCGCCTCATCAAGGGCGTTTCCAGGAGTGCCCGGATATCGTCCCCAGGGGCCGCCCCAGAGGTCCGAGCCATGGGCCAAAAACCACCCCCCCACGTGACGTGGATGAAGCGAGGCGCACAGTTTTGTCAAGTTTTGGCCTCCAGGGGACCCTGCGGGGCCCCATGACCGTCAAAAAAAATGCTCGGGATGAAAAACTGGCCCTGGGGAAAAGGTCGAGATATCTGGGGACCGCGCGTTGAGGGAATCAAGAGATCGCATGCCTGGGTCAACATCACCCCTGGGCCCGCGAAGACGTGCATGCGTGGAACAAGGCAACGGTGTCCGGCACCGTGCTGGCACGGAGCGGGCACGTCAGAAGGCTCGTCTGCGCCTGGTAAGGCTCTTGTTGCTTCTCTCTAGGGCCGCCCCTCTCCCCCTCGCACCGCGCACCCCTCTTAGACAAGCGCGTTCCACTCCTCGCAAAGCAACTACTCGCGAATGGCCTGGATTCACCGCGGGGAATCTGCGATACATTACATCGAGGCACGCATGTGTTTGTCGAACGTCTGCGAGTAGGCACTTTGCGAGCAGTGAACCGAGCTCTGTGACCTCTGAAACCGCCCCCCTGAACTTCGCAGAGCCGCGACATGACATGGATGGCGTACGGGTAGGGCTACCTAGACGTACACATACGGCTGCGGCGTGCAGTGTCGGGCGTACTAGTGCGGTTACGTAGGCCTACAAATATGACGGCGGCTTGCGGGATAGGGCTACCTAGACGCACAAAAACGGCTGCGGCGTGCAGTGTCGGGCGCACCAGTGCGGCTGCGAAGGCCTAATTACTCGAATGACGGCGGTGTGAAGGGTCGGACGTACGAGTAGGCCTACGTAGAGGAACTAGTACGACGGCGGAGTCCAGGATTGGGCGTACTAGTACGGCTACGCAGGCCTACTAGTACGACAGCGGTGCGCAGGGTAGGGCATACCAGAACGGCTACGTAGTACTACCAGCACGACGGCGGTGTGAAGGGTCAGCCATAAGAGCACGGCGGCTCCAAGGACAAACTAGTACGACAGCATAGTGCAGGGACGGGCACACTAGTACGGCTGCGAAGGCGGACTAGTACTAGAGTCCCTGTGTGATCGCCTTGCAGATACACAACTGGCGCTCCGACTAGAGAACTCATTGTAACGCTTCGAAGCTGTGCTAATGGAACTGTAGTTGAATCGTGATGGAATGCTTCCACTCTCAGTGTGTGTACGGCATTGTGTGGACGTGCGTAAATCACTGTGTACATATTGGTAAGTGTATGTGCTTAACTGTGCGTGCGTGTGTATAGATTTGAGCGCATGCTTCTATGAGCGATTACGCATGTGTGGAAAGGTTGGGTGGAATGCAGCTAGCTGCAATCGCAGAAAAGCTCAAGCCAAACCTCATTTATGATCTGTCTCCCCCTCGGGGGATGGGGGGGGCGGCCAACGTCACGACGTCCGAACACTCTCGGGGGGGGTCCTGATCCTTGTCGGCATCCTCCCGGGCCTTGGTAGGCAGCACAAGAGGGCCTCGAAAGCCGTTCCCTCCACCATGGCTCCAAATCGGCTCTGGGGACGAGGGGAAAGGGAGGAGGACCAGAAGAGGGAGTGGCGGGAGGAGAAGGAGGAGGAGGAGGAGGAGGTTCACTGCCCATAGAGGGACGGTACGAGGAAGAGAGAGGGACAAAACCCTGGGGGGCGCCCACCCGACGAGAACTTGTTGCTCCAGCTCCCGCCTCGAGCGCCTCCCTGCCAAGGGCCTCAGCCTCCGCCAGAGGAGGCGAAGGAGCAGGAAGAGGGGAGCAGCTTTCGCCGAGAGCCTTTGCCACAATAGTCATGTTGGCACGGCCGGCATCGACACCTCCATGCCTGCCGGGAGGGAGCAGGCCAAGCGTTTGCTGCAGCTCCTCCAGTCCGCCGCCAAGCAGCCGCGGCAGGGGTAACACGGCAACTCTCCTGCCGCAAGCTCCTGGCTGCGAGGGTCTCCCAGGCCATGCCCAGGGCAAGGGCGAGGCGCTCCCAGGCATGCTGGAGGCGCTGGCGCGGCCGAAGCAGGCGCCGCTGGCAGCAACCTCCATTCACGCGCGGGCCGTGGCCGGCGGGGACCTGCAGACCCCCCGCCCAGCGCGGTCTCTGGGACAGGGCCTCGGGGGCCGGACGAGCCCAGCTGGGGCGAGTGCGCTGCAGCACGGCAGCCAGGAGTCGCAGTCCCCGGTGACGGCCGAGCTGCTGAGTGCGACGCTGAGCAGCGACGGGCGGGCCAAAGGCCGAGGAGGGCCTCCTGCGGTTCACGGGCCGGGGGCTCCGGCCGCATGTCGCCCTGGTCCAGGAGACGAGGTTCGTCTCGAAGGCGGCACAGCAGACGGCCACGCAATGAACCTCGACCTTCGGCGCCGAGGCGGCGAGTGGCCCTGTGGTCCGCACGGGCGAGGGCAAGAATGCAACGTCGGCGGGCGTGGCCATGCTCGTGGAAGGACCTGGCAAGAATGCAACTTGCTCGGGTGCACGCGGCAGGTGACGAGTCCAGGCTGTGATGCAGCCCGCGTGCTGGTGCGCAGGATTGCGCTCAACGGTATTCAGGTGTTGTACGCCTCCGTCTACCTCACATGCTCGTTGGGCGTGCACGGCGCCAATTTGGAGCTGTCGGAGGAGCTGCCGAGATGGCCGCTGGGGAAGCCGTGGCCGTGCAGCATCGGCGGGGACTGGAATGTCACGCCCGGGGCCCTGGCGGAGAGCGGCTGGATACGGGGTCTGGATGGCGTGGCACTGGTGCCCCAGCCGCCGACGTGCAAGGGCACGGTCTGTAACTTCTTCCCGGCCCCGACAGTGCTGGCCAACTGCGGCCACGAGGCAACAGTGCCCCCCGCCGCGCCCCCGCCAGTGCGCAGCACCTGGATGCTGAGCTGGATGATGAGAAAGTCGAGGAAGGCGACGACCTCACGGACCAGCTCGTCTGGCAGGTGGCGCCAGGCGGCTCCGGGGCCTCGGTGGAGGACGCCATGAAGGAGTGGTTGGCCAAGGGGAGGCGGTGCTTGGTGCCCAGCGGGGCTTCCGCGGGCGAGCGGCTGCTGGCCATTCTGGGCGCGCTCGTGGCTACGTGCTGGCGCAGGCCCCACTGGCCTCGGCGGCTTCCGCGCACCTGCGGCGCCGTGCAGGCCCGAACACGATCCGCCGGGACAGCATAGCCTCGCTCGGAGCCTCTGGGCTGCGGGGGGCCGAGGGCCCCGCTGGGCCCGGTGGCGAGCAGGCGGCCAACGCGGCGGTGCTGGGGTCCCGCCTGAAGGAGGCATTCACGGAGCTCGAGCAACAGGAGCAGGGCAACTTCACCCGCGAACAGGCGCGCACCATGGCGGGCGCCTTGCTGGAGCACAGGCCCCAGGGCGCATGGTTCCTGGGTCCTGTTGGCGATTCTGAGACTCCGGCGCAAGGAGGATGCTCAGCGACGCAGCCAAGAGTGGAAAGTCATCGTCGAGGATGCCTTTGCTGGCGGGGCCCAGGTAGCGCATCAGGTGATCCAGGCTCAGCTCCCCGAAGGGGTCGCCATCCTCGACGATGCTGCCGCCGAGATTGATCGTTTGCTGCGGGACTGGTTGTCGCTCTGGGTCGATGGCGACAGGGACAGGCGTGTAGAAAGCCATCCACTCGCCTGGAAGGCCGGTTGGTCCCTTCCCGACATCACCGGGGGCCGGACTGTGGAGGCCAGAGGCTCCTGCGCCAGAGGCACTGGGCTCGGATGTGGCGGCATGCGTCCGAGACTGCTCCACGAGCTGGGGAGGCCCTTCGCTGGCCGCCCGGCGGCCGTCCTCGCTGCCCAGGAGCGGGGCCCGCTCACGTCGGAGGTGCTGCTCGTGCCTCTCGGTGTTCACTCCAGAGGCGGGCGGCGGGAAGCGGCCCATGGGCCTGCTGGCAATGCTGAAGGGGCCCACAAGCACACAAACACATACACACACAAATCCCAGGATTCTGTTTCCCCCCACTTTCTGTGTTCCCCCCCACTTTCAATAGTTTCGCTGATCTTCCGGGGAATCGAAGATTCATTGTGTCTGTGTGTTTTTTCCCCTCCTGACATGTTTGCCCGCGTATGGTCCAGAATCTGGCGGCGGTGCTGCAAGGCATGGGAGGCGGCGCAGGACGGCCCGATGATTTGGGGCAACTGGCGCCACAAGTGGCTGCGACGGCGCGGCCTGGCTGCACAGC